CGGCGGGGGTGCCGCTCCGCCTGGAGCTGGGCGTTTATCCTCTAGTCGGAAACGGCTCCGTTAGCTGTTAGCTTAAGCTCGTAAGTCTGCAAAGATCAATTAACAACCTCATTGATTGCGCCGGGGGGTGACGGAGCGACTTCCTCAAATTAAAAAGCTCGTTAATGCCTGGCTACGTTTCGGAGTGGTCAGGCTCTGCTGCAAACTGGTGCCCCCTTTTTCAAATGACATATGTTCAGTCCACATTCTTGCTTTAATTATTTTGCTCGATGCAAATGTAAACTCTTAGCTACCGTTCTACGGTACGTTTTGCCTATTTTCTGCATTTAAATATATTCACATCCATGCAGTAGGAATGCAGCACGTCTCAAAACAGGGGCTTAAATATTAAATTTTATCGTACTCTTTACGATAAAGTAAATCTTAAAATCAGACCGCGATATCTCTAACCGTGCCAAAGCTTTATTTTTCACGGTTTAAAGCCAATTTGATCGACTAGAGTAAAGCTTGATCCTTTTAAAAATGCGTTGGCTGCAGCAGGGTATATTTTTCAGGCTTTCACAATGTGCGCTCTGCTCCTCTCTTCCCCTAGATCACACAGCTGAAAATAGACCACAACCCTTTCGCAAAAGGCTTCCGAGACAATTACGACACGTAAGTAAACCAGATTTTTATTACCCTTCTGCCGGCTGCACACACATGTCAAAGGGAGAAGCTTTAGGACGCGGGCTGGCTTCGTTTCACACCGAAACGTGTAATGCCAGGCTTTTCCAGAGCCCCCCGCGGGGGAGGCACCCGCAACCTCCCCCGGCGGGGCCGCGGTCCCTGCGGCCGGCTCCGCGCAGCCTGCGCCGGGGGCCGCGCTGTCCCCACCTGAGCCCCCGTGTCGCTTTGGCACTTGCGGCGGGTTTGTTCTTGTTTTTTCCCCGGCACGTATCTTCGCGCCCTTTCCAAGTTCCCGTTTCACTTGCGCGCAAGGGCTCCGAAAGAAGCACCCGGGCAACCCGCCGGGTTTGAATAATCCCGGGCTCCGCAGGCCCGATGTCTGGCGGAAAATTTCTTCCTCTCGTTTTGTTCTTCTCTGGGCTTGGATTTTTTTTTTCCTTCTTCCTTCTGGGTGGAGCTAAAGCCTCCCAAGTTTTTAAT